CATAGATTATTCTAGAAGGGATAGAAGAGTTGTTTCAAATGACTGTAGCACTGGCCGTGCGTGTGTCCCTTAAGTAGAGCTGTCCACGGACATGCCCATCAGACAGTGCCTTCCTCTTTTCCCAGTTCAGGAACAAGAGTTAGTAAGGCTGTGCAGGCCATGGGTTCTGGGTGCAAGATTCAAGGAGCAAGTGTGCCTTTGTGTGTGTGTGTACCTGTGCTTCTATAAACACACAGATATAATACATACATACATGCACATCCATATCCACATACAATACAACCATATACGTGGTTTAGGATGGAGGGGAACCAGGTCACCTCTATCGCTCACTCCTCCACAAAGCTTTTCTTTCACCACTTCAGCTTTGTACATTATCCTTGATGAGACAATTTCCCTTTTCTATTTCTGGGAAGTGTGGCAGATTGGTAAAATGTATAAATGCTGCCTCCAGGCTGCTCAGGATCAAATCCTAGCTCTTTCAAATCACTGCCACCTGAACCTGTAATAACAAGTTATTAAACCTTGACTAGCCTCTCTTTCTATATCTGTGAAGTGATCTGATGCTAGTGACTATTCCCAGGATTGCTGAGAGGACTAAGACAGTTATGCATGTGAAGAAGTCCCCCAGTTCTGGGCACATAGGATGCCCATTGTCCATGGTAGCCATTGTCATGGTGGAGATTGTGATAGTGCTTTGCAGGGATCAGTTGTTGGATAGTGAGGAGGTAGATGCTGGAATAAGCATTGCTCTTCTGGAGATGCATATCTTAGTGCATACTGTCTCAGAAAGTTCTGGGCATGTTCATTTGTTTAACAATAGTATAGCATTCTCCCCTTTGGAATATAAGCTGTGTGAGGTCAAGACTTCTATCTTTTTTACTGCTACATTCACAATGCCTCGAACAGTGCTTGACACATATTAGGGGCTCAATAAAGGTTTATTAAGTGAATGAACATTGTTTAAAGGTCTCTAGTGAGACACCACTAAAAAAAAATCTGAAGTCAGAAGACCTGGATGTACAGTGGAAGGAGCATGACTGGAGCTAGATGAGCCAGCAGTGGATAAATCCAGAGAAGAATGGGAGGGAAAAGGGACTTGTGAGCTCTGGAGGGAGTGGGAAGAGAGAACAGAACTGGCGAAGCTGAAGTTGTGTCCACACCTGATAGGTTGTAGACAGGTGGGTCTCCAAGATGAAGTTTATCATCTTAATCCATTCCTTTTCTACCCTAGGGCCTCCTGCTTCTGCTAAAACCCCGTTTTTTGCTAACGTCAGCCCTATGCGCCTAAAATCAGGCTCATCTACAGATGAGAGATTAAACTTCTTAATGATAGGTGCTGAGGGTCATTTCTCTAAGACTTGGATCTGGCAGGCAGAAGGAAAAATACAAAATCCCATTAGCAGTGAGGACTTGGAAGCTACCAGATGTGAACTGAGGCTGACGTCGTGCCGAAATCAATCAAGCAAGAATTTCCCTTATTACTAAAACTTCAATTTCTGTAAAATTTGACAGAACAAGGGAGTTATTAAATGCTATATATATTTTTTTATAATAAATTTTATTTTTATATTCCCCCATACAATTGCAAACGCCCCATTCTGACCCCAATCCTTCCCCTCCCGCCCCCCCCCCCCCAAAAAGTGTCTCTGGTTCATAGTTTTTTGTTGATTTTGATTTTCACTTTCTTATATTCATTTTCCTGGTCCCTTATTTAAGTTTTCTAGATTCCTGCTATGAGTGAGACCATCCGGTATTTTTCTTTTTATTTTTGGCTTACTTCGCTGAGCATGATCCCTTCCAGCGCCATCCATGTTGCTGCAAATTGCATGTGTTTATCTTTTTTGAATGCTGAGTAATATTCCATGGTATATATGCACCACATCTTCTTGATCCAGTCATCTATTTTTGGGCATTTGGGTTGTTTCCAAAGCTTAGCTATTGTAAACAGTGCTGCTATAAACATAGGGGTGCAGGTGCTCTTTGGAATTGATGTTTCTGTGTCCTTTGGGTAAATACCTAGGAGTGGAATTGCTGGATCATATGGAAGCTCTATGTTTAGTTGGTCCAGAAATCTCCACACAGCTCTCCACAGTGGTTGGACCAGTTTGCACTCCCACCAACAGTGCAGGAGAGTTTCTTTTTCTCCACACCCTCGCCAACATTTGTTGTTGCTAGTTTTTTTAATATGTGCCATTCTCACTGGTGTAAGATGGTATCTCATGGTAGTTTTGATTTGCATTTCCCTGATGACAAGTGATGTTGAACATTTTTTCATATGCCTGTTGGCCATTTGCATTTCCTCTTCAGAGAAGTTTCTTTTTAGCTCTTCTGCCCATTTTTTGACTGGATTATTTTCTTTGTTGTTGCTGAGTCTCATCAGCTCTTTGCAGATTTTTGTGATCAGTCCTTTATCATTAGTGTTGGGTGCAAAAATGTTCTCCCAGTTGGTGGGGTTTCTCTTTGTTTTTGTTATTGTCTCTTTTGCTGTGCAGAAGCTCTTTAATTTGATATAGTCCCAGCTGTTTATCTTTGCCTTCACTATCACTGCTTTGGGTGATGTGTCTGTAAAGATGTCTTTGATGTGCAAATCCCGTAGTGTTTCGCCTATATTTCCTTCTATGTATTTTATGGTTTCAGGTCTTATGTCTAGTTCTTTAATCCATTTTGAGTTGATTTTTGTGTATGGTGTGAGGTAGTGGTCAAGCTTCATTCTTTTGCATGTAGCGACCCAGCTTTAAGTACAACACCCATTCATGATAAAAGCCCTTGAAATTCTTGGGATACAAGGAACATACCTTAACATCATAAAGGCCATCTATGACAAGCCAACAGCCAGTATCATTCTCAATGGTGAAAAGCTGAAAGCAATTCCATTAAGATCTGGAACAAGACAAGGATGTCCACTCTCACTACTGCTTTTCAATATAATACTGGAAGTCCTAGCCAGAGCAATAAGACAAGAGAAAGACATCCAAGGAATCCAAATAGGAAAAGAAGAAGTCAAACTATCACTATTTGCAGATGATATGATAAAATACATAGAGAACCCCAAAATCTCCACAGAAAAACTAATTCAACTCATCAATCAATTCAGTAAAGTGGCAGGATACAAAATCAACACGCAAAAGTCAGTAGCCCTCCTATACACAAACAACAAATCTGAAGAAGAAGAAATCAAAAAAACCATCCCTTTTATTATCGAAACAAAAAAAATCAAATATTTGGGAATAAATCTAACAAAAGAGGTAAAGGACCTATACAAAGAAAACTATAAAACACTGTTAAAAGAAATAGAAGAAGACACAAAGAAATGGAAAGACATCCCCTGCTCATGGATTGGAAGAATAAACATTATTAAAATGGCCATCCTACCAAAAGCAATATACAGATTCAATGCTATTCCAATCAAAATTTCAATGTCATTCTTCAAAGAAATAGAACAATTATTGATGAAATTCATATGGAATCACCAAAAACCCCGAATAGCCAAAGCTCTACTGAAAAAAAAAAAAGAAGGAAATGGAGGCATCACACTCCCAGACTTCAAACTAAACTACAAAGCCATAATCATCAAAACTGCATGGTATTGGAACAAGAACAGACATACAGACCAATGGAATCGAATAGAAAATCCAGAAATAAACCCAAAGATTTATGGTCAACTAATCTTTGACAAAGGAGCAAAGACTATGCATTGGAGCAAAGAAAGTTTGTTCAATTAAATGCTATATAAACACAGTAACCCAGATAATAACAACAATATGGAACATGAACAAGCTCAATTAATCACTCTAGCTCAGGGACAGAGCAAAAGTCACCACTCTTCTAAGTGTATTCATTTCATTCATTGATTTTTCAAACATTGACTCAGCCCCTACTGTGGTAGGGCTGATACAGAAAGGAATAGGATATAAAGTTTATCCTCAAAATGTTATAGTCACCTAAAGCATCAGCAACAAAGTAAAAAAATAAATAAAGGGGAACTATTTTACACTAAAAAAAAAAGTTTCTGCAAAAGAAACAGCCCACAAAGTGAAACAACATCACACAGAAAATGTATTTGCAGTCATTTATCTGATAAGGGGTTAATGTTCAAAAATATATAAATAACTAATACAACTCAAAGTTGAAAAATGGATGAAAGACCTGAATAGACAATTTTTCCAAAGGAGATATTTAAAAGACCAACAGGTGCATAAAAAGATGCTCAACATCACTAGTCATTAGGAGAATGCAAATTAAAATCAAAATGAGATAGAACTCATGAGAATGACCGTAATCAAAAAGACCAGAGATAAGAAATGTTGGCAAAGAGAAGTATAAAAGGGAAATGCGGTGCGCTATTGGTGGGAATGTAATTGATGCAGCCACAGTGGGAGACAAATTGGAGGATCCTCAAAAAATTAAAAATAGAACTACCATTAATTCTATTTTTCGGAATATATCCAAAGGAAATGAAGCACTAACTCAAAAATACATTTTCACCCCCCATGTTGAAAGTTGTGTTATTTGTAAAAGCCAAGATATGAAATGAGGAAGTTGTGACTTAGACACACACACACACAGAGACAGAAAGTGGAATATTATTCAGCCACAAAAAGAGGAAATCCTACTATTTGTGTCAACATGGAGGGGTCCTAGAGACATTATGCTAAGTGAAATAAGTCAGACAGAGAAAGTCAAATGTTATATAATCTTGTATGTGGAATCTAAAAAAAAAAAGAAAAACACCAAACTCCTAACAAAGAGATTAGATTTCTGTTAACAAAGTGGTTACCAGAAGTGGAAGGTGAAGTGGGAAGGGGAATTAAAGGAAGATGGTCAAAAGTTACAAACTTTCAGTTATAAGACAAAGAACTGCTGGGGTGTAGTGTACAATATGATGATGATAACTGACACTTCTATATGATATGTAAGAAAGTTGAGAGGGTAATTTCTAAGAGTTCTAATCACAAAATTTTCTCTTTTCTTTCTTTTTATTGTATCTACACGAGAAGAAGGATATTAGCTGAACCTATAGGAATCATTTCACAACATATGTAAATCAAGCTGTCATGCTGTGGACCTTCAACTTACACAGTGATGTATCATAATTATTTCTCAATAAAACAGAAAAAAATTATAATTTAGTGGCAGCTGGCCAACTTCTGTACATGAGCTCATAAGTGAAGTAAATTTTGCCACTCTGTCAAAAATGTGTCATTAAAAAAACTCTCTTGCTTTTCATATTATCAGTATTAGGAATCTTGAGCTGGCCATGATGCATCCTAGTTCCCCCAAGTTCTGTGTCTCCTCGCTTTTAAACCCATGTGCCTTTTGTGAATCTGCTTTAGGTTCAGCCTCTGATCCTGCCTCTTAGGATAATGAGTCCTGGAAGTTTACTCTGTTTGGGAGGCACTGAATGAATCCCTCCTTTACTTTATCCAAGTTTATCTCACACCCACATTAAGGGGCTCCTTTAGTAAACAATCTCCATGTGGGAACTCATTAATTTTCCTTCAAAGCTTGCTCTCCCCACTGCACTTCTCATGCCTTTGAATGGTACCTCCTCACCCCATTGTTCAAGCCAATGGGATGCTGCTTCCCTCCTGCTCTCTACTGCTCACAGCATCTCCGGGGACGTGGAGTGCCAGTGGTTCATCAGCTGCAATTATGTTCAGGAACCTACAAAATCAACTCTTTAACCTCTGACCCTAACTTACTCTTTTAGCCCACCTGGGATGAGTCCAGATAGCTCTCCATTCCAGCCACTGCCCCATTATTCCCTTTCTTTTTAGGCTCCCTGCACAAGACAACCCCCTCTCTTCTTCAATAGACATTCCACCTCTTTCCTTTGGCCAACAAACACAAATTTCCATTCATATAAACTCATGCAAGCGGTTACTTTGGAGAAGTAGGACTTAGCAGCTGGGAAAAGAGACGGGGAAGAGGGAAGAGGAAGAGGGAAAAGTTTCACTGATATTCAGACGCTGAACTAGTATTTGGTGATTGGATGAATGAATCCATACTATGCACTTTCCAGTGAATTTCATTCCCCTTCTCCCTTCTATGGAAGTGGTCCGGTGTCTGAATTTGTATTCTTCTTCATCACTTAAATTGATTCTGCCAAGTGCCGTTAAATAATTTTTGTGAGACAGTGACCTTCATAGAGGACGCTAGGAGTCAACATGATCCAGCTCTACTTAAGACAGAACAATCTGGGGCCTCCCCGGTGGCGCAGCAGTTGAGCGCTGGGTTGTGAAGCTGCCTGCGGCCTCTGCGGCACCGGTTCGATCCCCGGCTGCTCCCCGGCCACCAGAGGAGGGTCCCACATGGCGCGCAGACCTCTCCTGCCGCCTGCTGCTTCCCTCCGCAGTGTACTTCGGTCCCTCTGCCTGCTCTGCTCCCTGCTCTGGCTCTAGTGAATTCTCTCACCCTCCCGTGCTTCTGACTGTACCCAGTGCATGTATAAACAAAACACACAAATAAATAAATAAATAAATAAAGCATGCCTCTATTAAAAAAAAAAAAAAAAAAGAACAATCTGCATTGTTTGCTTCTTTTCTGTCAACTGATACAAGCTTGCAGTATTCTCACCCAATCATCCAAGAAAACTAAGTTGAGAATGGACTCCATGCCAACTAGTGTGCTACAGTCCAGTGTACAAGTGCAAACAAGACGTGGCACAATCTCAGTTCTTTTTTTTTTTTTAACTGAGATAACATTGTTTTGCAGCATGGTGTATTATTTACAGGTATAGGACCACCCCTGTCAGGTGTTGTGGCCACATCACAACCACCACCAGGACACCCATAGTCCTCACCATAGTCCACCAGCCCTTAAAAAAATGTGCAATTCACAAAGCAGTGAAATAAGGCTAGAAACTTCCAAACATACAAAGACTGAGAAGCTAGTACCATAAACTGCCACATGTCCATTGCCCAGCTTAATAGTCAGCCATTCTTATTTCGTCGACCTCCTGCCCCCACTTTCCTTTCATCAGTATTTAAAAATAAATCCCAGGTATAATTTCAGATTTCTCTTTGCAGCTCCAATAGATGAAACATGTTCTAGCCAGTTTTAAACAGGGCAGGGAAGCTTCCAGGAGGCTGTGGTATCAAAACAGAGGCCTAAAGAAACAGTAGGATTAGTGGCAGGGTAAAAGAGTGGGGGAAGGAGGGAAGAGGAAGAGAGAATCGTTTCAGAGCAAAGGAAAACTGTACGCAGAGGTCAAAGGGGAGAGGGATATGTGTTGAGCACCTTGTCACACACCTGTGGTCCATGGACCAGCAGAACTGGCATCCCCTGCCATGAGATAGCGCCTGGCACCTGACCTCAGGGTAGTGAACCAGAACCTGGATCTTGTCAGAATCCCCCAGTGATCTGCTTGCACAATCATGTCTAAGATGAGGGGGCTGCCTGAGGTTGGGGCAGCGGAAGGAAGTAGTCCGAGTAAGGGGTAAGGTTAGGAAGTCCCACTTGGCTGAGAGAAATGCTCCTGCTTTACAGCGATACCAGAGCGCTGCCAGCAGATGTGAGCAGGGGGCGATGCCTTCAGATTTGCCTGCTGGAGGCAGCTCTGCTGCACTGGGGAGAGTGGATTGAGGTGGGGTGGGGTGGGGGTGGGGGGGGAGGGAAGATAGGAGCCTGGAAAACTGGTTAAGCTTTATTCCTTTACAAGCTGCAGGGTGCAGAGGGCTGGGAAGGTTTGGCCTCTGGAAGACAAAGGCCTGGCCTGTGTTGTATTTTCACTGTATCATTCAACCCTGACTTTGCCTGGAGACACAGTTATGTGACTTTCCTGAGTGTTTCTTTCCTGAGCATGGCCCTTTTGTTATATGGGATCTTTTATCCACGAAGAATGAATGTCTAGAAATAGAAGCTGATTTTGATATAGTCATTGTTTAAAGTGGAATTCAAAATGCTGTCACCACCTCAGTATGCACCCTCACTCCCCCAGCCCTCAGGCCCCTTGCCCTCCAAATAATTGCACGGACACAAAGAGATCAGAATTGGGGCTATGGGCTCAGCTTATAGAGAATTCAATTCGGCGTTCCATCTACCTGGAAACTTTGCTGAGAGCTAGTTTCACCTGTCAGCCTGCCATGCACAGTCCCACCTGCCTGCCTGCGTTCAGGCCTGTCCCTTACCTGGATTGCAGCTGACCTTACTCTATTTATTCCTCCTTGTTAACATGCACTGATGATGCTTTCAACATTGTGCTCTGGGGGCCGAGGATGAGCGAGAAATAGACCCTCTCCTCCCCTCATTTTACCAAAGCCCTTCCTGTTCTTTGAGCTAGCTCATGTCACCCCTCCATGGCACCTATTGTTCCATGTCACAAATTCGGAACTCAGATGATGGCTGCTGAAACTGTAAGGGAGTTGAGAGTGACTGATGGGGATATGTCGCCACAGGAGAACAGTCAGCAGGCCCTAACATGGGCAGGTCCCTTGCCAGGGGTCCTCTGCTGAGTAAGGACAGAGGGGCAAGTCAGGGATGACCTGAAGGAGTCATTTGGCTGACGTCGAAGGAACAAGGCGCCACAGGGTGCCCTAGATCCACCTTCCATTCTCTCCTACACCTCCATGTATGGCCACAAGGGGTCAGTGTCCTTTCACGCTTGGGTAGGCACTGCTGGGCTGGGAGGCCAGGAACCAGCAGCTCAGCCTGCAGACTTTCAGCAGAGTTCCAGCTAGTTGTGAAAAAGCCTCCTGGAATCTGGGAGCAACGTGGTCCATGAGACCGGAGGGGCTGGTGCATGGTTGGAGTGAGGAAGAGCTGATTATTCCCACTGAGAGCTGCCTGGGGTTGCTGCCCAGGTGCCCTGCACACCTTGCACTCTCCTGTGTAAACAGAGACTGCTCATTTGTGCCAATGTGGAGTGAGCAGGAAGAGCTGCTGGAACAGGGAAGAAATGTGAATTGTGCAGGTGTAGGAAGAGGTGGTATCATGCCCCCAGGAGCATCTGGGGCTTCCAGACAGCAGCAGACCATCTCTGTGGGTCCCGCTTTAAATGACTACAGGAGACTCAGTCTCAGGTAGTGCTGGTGGGAGGGGCCTCAGGACAGGGGGCTCTTTGGATGCCAGGAAGGAGGCACATACTGACTCTGACAGGCAGAGGTTTGCTAGGGGAGAGCCCTTAAAAAGCTAACTCAGGCATGCTGGTCTTCTTGGCTCCTATGCGCTTCTGCTGCCCAGAAAGATGAGGGGTTTCTCAGCCTCAATTTGCTGGTGGCTCTAGGCCTAAGGGATGAAGGCTGGGAGGGGGGCTTCAGAGGAGGAGTGGGCTTGGGGCCCAAGGGCACTAGGAGGACCAGAATGAGGGCTGGCTTCAGTTCAGTCCTGGCCCCCAAACCTGGGTCCAGTCCCAGATCTAGGCTTTGAGGGGCCTGAAATATATACAATGTGGAAATCTCTTTAAGACAAACAATATAAAAATACAAACACAAAATTGGGCATAGAAGTAAACATGTGGAGTGAGAAAATAGATCACACCAAACTACAAATTATTTAAAACTGACAAGCAGGTGCCTCCCTGGTGGCGCAAGGGGTTAAGACGCAGCACTATGAAGCTATCGGCAGCCACTGCAGCACGAGTTCGATCCCCAGTCAGGGAGCTGACCCCCTGGCGCAGCAGACCTCTCCTGACTCGCCTGCTGCTCCTGTCAGCAGTGTATTTCAGTCAATCCGCCTGTTCTGTTCCCCACTCTGTCTCTGGTGAATCCTCTCACTCTCCCCCCACACCTCTGGCCTGTACCCCAGTTCTTGTATGAATAAATAAATCTTTAAAAAAAATAAAACTGACAAACACCCCACTTATGACAAAATGTAGGAAAATAACATTTTTATTAACTACCTGACAGAGCTCTAGAAAAATTTCCTGGGTGTTTTGGCTGCATACTCTTTAATGACCACTTCATATGCCAACACTTTTGTAAAATCATTTTATGTAGGAAGAATAGAAAGATTAATTCAGTCTTTCCTCTAGTGGTTGATCAAAATTTTGTATAATATGGCCACAGTTTTATGTTTACAAACTCAGAAATTCGATACATTCTGTTAATGAAAAAAATGTATGTTATGCTTATAATTGCATATGCTGCATTATCAAGTGTATTCCTGACAAGAGAGAGCCTCTTGGCAGAAGAGAACTTTGGCAAGACATCAGTGAAAGCAGAACTCTGCCTTTTACA